GCAAAATTACAGTTTAAATAGCACAAATCAAACAATAAAGAAATATCTACAATAACACAAAGCGATAACATTTCAAAAAAACCGTAAAAGATATTCAAGATAAAATCTAAAAATATGCCTAGCAAAAAATATACTGAGTCATTTACTCGTTTCTTCTTGTTGTGTCTACAAAAAACTACTCAAACCACACTACTCAAATATAATAAACGAAAATTTTGATTTTGACATTTTTTGACAGTAGCCACGAGTCATGTTTGAAAACATGCGTACATGAACATAAAATATCAATCAATTTTGACAAAAGCAAAATATAATTGTTTCTGATCTTTTTGGTAGTTTAAAGTGCTCGATAGTTTTGATTTCAGATTTCAACTAATCAATGAAGTTACAGTTGTGACATATTTTATGTATCTCAATTAGATTTGTGGCTAGATTTGAATATTTAGGGGGAGAATTAAGATTAAACACATGGTTCTGGTTTTGTCATTAAGATTGGATAGTTTTATGAGTTTAAAACTTGATGTTTGGGATTGTTTTGAAGTTCAGAATCATGTCCGAGAGACAAGCCGATGCAAATCTTGATTCTGTTCGTCAGTAAGCTATCACAAGGTCCGTCAGAGTTCAGATTCTCAAAATTAACTCTTGATTTGATTGACAGATAGCTATTTGGCTATATTTTTGCCATACTTAAGAGTTAAGCTGGTTTAAATCTTAACCTGGAGGATATAAGGCTTCATTTGGAAGCTGAATGGATTCCAGCACTTGCTGTATGCAGGTATGGGTGATTATACTCAAGAACCTAGCTTTAAAAACATTCCTACATCTTTCTGCAGTTAACATAGCGACATATCGATGTCTTTAGAACCCCAAAGTGTAGCTCGGGATGCTATTTAATGAACAATCATAATCACTAAGAAAAATGGATTAATTTCGGCTGGTTCTTGATTAAACTAACGACTCGTTTTAATTCCACAAAAATCTTCTTATTATTCCTCAATTTTCTAGAAAATTTACATTAATGAACCTTTCTGGTTCTTCTTCATACGACCCAAAAGAATAAGAAACAAAAAATCTGACGTCTATTTCAGCTAATTTCATGAAAATAAACCGACAAAGTGCTGCTAATGAAAGCAAAAAGAATCTCCTTCTTATTCATGTAATTTACACAAAATGCTGCCAAGAAAAGAGTAGCTGAACACTCTTATTATTTTTTCGCAAATGTGCGAAATATGAAAAATAAGCCAGGCAGACATAAAAATATGGAAATAAAGAAAAGATCAGAAGATCTCACAAAAATGATAATGGCAAATACCAGCAGTTTCAAATTTCACATTAAAATATTTATTAATATTTTTCTTTCTTTTTTTACGTTTCAATAAAAAGATTAACAAATGTAAATAAATTGCGAAACTCAGGTAGAAAAGTGAGACTATGAATGAAAGTGAAATTAATAGCTTTTAACGCGTTTTTTGTCATAGAAATGGAATAAATTTTTATTTGCTTTATGGAATTGGGTGTGCGGTTGCTGTAGTGATCTGATGAAGTTTGAATAATTTTTATTTATTGTGGATTCTTTTGGAAGTTTTCATTTTTTATGGTTGAAAATTCAGTAGCTTGGTTAGTGGTCAGGGGGAACCTAACATGATGGGAAATTATTTGCAATTGTTAAATTTTCTTATTTTCTCCTTGATTATAATGACTCTCGACAAACTGAGATTTTAACCTGTTCCCTTAACCTTAACAAAATTGCAGAGCTCGAAGTCGACTCAAGATTCTCATCGATTTTGTATGGCGAAGTCGACTCCGAGTCGACTCGACTCCATACAAAATTTCATCGACTTCGAGCTCTGCAAAATTGTTACTTAACTTCGAAGCTTCTCTGGAAGGAGTTCGATTCCTAATACTCCATGTCTACTACTCAGTGGCATTTAGGCAACGTTGTTCTCCTCAAGTGGAAGCAAATCTTAGTATTTATCGATTAACAGCAGTCACTGCACTATCAAAGCAATGTCAGAGTCTTTTTGAGTGAACTAAGTGAAACTAAGTGTTGAGTCAAACTTTTGATGAACAACAATAATTCAATCCAAAAACTATACAAAACCATTGATGCAATTGTAAATATCGATTTTTCCAGCTGGCAAAACTCATTGACAAATATTATGAGCTATGATGTCAATCTCTGATACAAATTCCAAACTATATGATCCATACATATGTCCCTCATTATTTTGGCAACACATTTCCATCATTTATTATCTAAATCTCTAAAATTTCATTCAATAATGCCTAGCAAATTCTACACAATATATTCCACCCATAATTTTCAAATAAACTCAGTTGCTACGTAACATATTCGCTCACTTTTAAAGATATTTTACCAAAAATGTTCTCCCACATGTTACGCAGGTGTACAGCAACAATAGGGAAAGACTCGCTCAACTCACCAATTTACGGAAATATTTTTTGTTTAAATTTCTTTTACAATTTTATTGAGTCAACAAATCGGTTGATGATGACATTTTGGTTTTGCTTTTTATTTTACTTTCACTAATTCTTGCTGCTGCTATTTACTTTTTATATTCAATTTTACTTCCTTCATTGCTGTAATTTTTTAACAAAAAAAAAAATAAATATTTTTCAGATGTTTTTTCGATAATTTCTTTTTTCCTTTTCATTTATAACATAAATAACAGTAACAATAACAATATACAGAACATAAAGAAGCGTGAATAGATGGTTTAGAAATGTAAATAATATACATGTTCTGAGCATATCAAACAAATAGGAAGTATTATAATGGAACTTTAAAAAAATTTGTCTAGAATATCAAATTCGTGTGGACGTTCTTGAATGAGGTTTAGGACTTTTCAGTGGTTTGGGAGGGTCTGAAAATTAAAACTTGTAATTCTGTTGTGTTTGCTGACTCTGCAGTTAATCAAAAGTACTTAATAGTGCCATGTGACCTTAGATTCCGACCAACGGAGTTTTTTATAATTAAAATGCCTTGAAAATTAATGTGTCCTTAGGTTTGGTGTACTAGGATGCCTTATGTCAGTGGTTCTCATACTTTTTTTTTGGCCCCGACCAAAAAACTTATTCATTTAGTGCAGTGTTGACCAAACTTTTTTGATCCATAGCTTAACCATTACCAAAGTCGCACAGAGCACGCGTCTCACGCCATTTACAAAAAATATCTACGGCACACCAGTGTGTCACGGCACACAGTTTGGACAACACTGATTTAGTGTGTCTCTAAGCGTTTTGTGACACTTTTCTAGGTTAGGTCGAAATAGTTGCGTTTAATCGAACATAATTTGAGCAGAATTGCACTTTATCTCTAGCTATTGCATATTCCAACCAGTTAACTGCCGTAAAATCCAAAATTTTGATCGACATCATTTATCAACATCCCCACAACTATTCTAAGCTATAATTTAATTTCTTGAATAGCTATTTTGTTCCATTCTCTAAAATTAATTTAAAGTGCAGTCACACTTTTCGAGTTTGTCACTTACAGAATGAATGAAAAGGCAAAGAATGAAGGAAGAGAGAATCAAATCACCAATTAAATTGATTTATTTAATAATACAAGCACAATAAAATAATGAAAATCTAAAAATTTTAGAGACGATCACGACGACATCGTCGAGCAGATGTTGGATAAATAAAAGTTACAATAAGTAAGGGACCTCTGCTGTACAGATTTTATATGAACACATTTATTTGTTCAAACACTCTCGGAACCTGAGGTCACAAGTCTATTGTTGTTGTCATTTTTGAGCTATAAAATTTAATTTCTCTGCTGTGGAGATGTCAATAATTATGAGGGTAACAGTAAAGAAATAATTTTTATACAGGATTTACGAGGAAATGAACATTTATATGTGTTCCTTTTGGGGGATTAACTTAAATACGGTGTTACTGCTGCTGCTGCTGTTGTTATTCCTCTTTTATGCTCTACAGACTTTATGAATTCTGTGCAAAAAAAGAGAAGAAAAAAATTTTATAGCATGGACATGTGTGTATATAATATTTACATTCGATGCATGATTCAGCAAACGGCTCAATGATTGAGCTGAAAAAAAATGTTATGTTATGTGTAGGGGGTTAATTGTCTGTAAAAGATTTCCAATACCGTCGTCTCTCTAAATTAGTCCTTTTCAAAAAAAAATATATTTCATAATTCATCTATTCTCACTCGCTTCTCGGTTTTTTTGAAGAGGACAGAAAGAATTAATCAAGTATAAAATGGCGTTGGGAAGAGGTTTAAGGCGCATTTTTTAGGGAATCGTGAGATCTAGTGAATCTTTGAGTATAATCATCAATAAGTATATAAGGACAAGAGCATAGTCAGAAAGCTTATGGAGTTGGAGGGTATCAATCCCTCGTATAGCGTTGAGGGGGAGTCCAGATTAATTTAGGTACATAGGCATTTTGATCTGTTTCTTGATATGTCCTTAACTATTATTTAAGAGGAGGAGCCTTTTTTAAGACTTTCTAAGCTACTCTACTCTTTGATCGAAAATCAAAGAACTTAAAGGCTCAGGGAGCCTTAGAAACAGTCTTAATTAGGATGTTCTTTCAATAAAAAAAATTGAAGGAATTGGGGGTCAAAATCCAGTCTTTAATTGAATTTTAAAGTTCAACGACCTCAAAAATCAAGCAAAAAGTATCCAGATAATTTCAAAACGTCCATATAAATGACTCATAATAAGGCCTAATCATCTTTCACCTCAGGTAGCATTAACCCAAACTGCAAATCTCTCTCTCATCTCTTCATGTGCCCAAAACGTAGCTCAAAAGAGAATAGCACAAGAAGAAGGGAACATAATAAATAAAATGTATTGAATGGATGGTTGAAAAGACATGTGTTTAACAACGACAAAAACAGACAAGCGACCTTTTCCTTTCTTTTCAATCATCTCATTCTCATTTCCAAAATAAACGTAAAGATGTGCTATGGATCTTTAAATTAATTTACAAATGAGAACGTTTCTTAGATTACGGCAACTGCAATGAGCTCAACCATATGGTAAATGCAACAAATCACTACGCTCCTACTTCATCTCAAGTGCTTCTTTTCATATGAAATAATTGTAATTATGATGATGGCTTATTATAAAGATGATGATGGAAGGGATGCCTATTTCTTATCGGCACTAAAACAATTTAGAAAAAATATTATTATTAACAATAATAAGCATTATTGCTTACAATAGCTTGCTGCTTCTTGATGATTATTGAATAGTGTTGTATGTAAGTGGCTAAGAAATAGACGAAATAATAGATTCAAAAGGGAGAAGTACTTCAAAAGCACTTAAGCGCAATAATGATTATTTTTAAGAAGAATGGAACTAAACAAAAAAGTGAAAGACCCGAATGGGCAATTGAGTATTGAAATGATGGAGACATTAATTCGTCTATTTTATAAGTGCCAGTCTAAATGCAATAAAGCTGTTGGCACTTAGCAATGAAACTGAGCCTTAAAGATGAATATTTTTTTTTTTTTTTTTTTTGAGAAAGTCTTAAGAAATAATTTCTTTTTCACATGAATGCAATCATGCTGAGAATATGTATTGAGAAATAAATGATGCGTTAATAGTTTATTAGAATTTCGGATGTACTTATGAAGTTAAATGTCTTGTATTATTGTATATCTTTTTTTTAAAAATGTGTCATGAGGCATGAGTCATTACAGAAAATGATTATCTATTTCGTCTGGATCAGTCTGGATATTATCGATTTTTATTGGGGTTATTAGATCTTCAATTGCTGGAATTTTCAAAGTTCTTTTAGAGCTCTTGAGTAATACTGAGAATATGGTTGAATATGATTTGATAACATACAGCATCTGGAGCTTAATTCTCAGAATAGTTCAAGTTTAATGACTTAAGCTAGACCTAGAATAACCAAGCTTGTACTAGAATAGCCAATCTAGTTTTAAAATAGTTGAGCTAGTCCTAGAATTTCCAAGCTAGTTCTAGAATAGTTGAGCTAGTCCTAGAATAGTCAATCTAGTCCTAGAATAGTTGAGCTAGTCCTAGAATAGCCAAGCTAGTCCTAGAATTGCCAATCTAGTATTAAAATAGTTGAGTTGGTCCTAAAATTTCCAAGCTAGTCCTAGAATAGCTAAGCTAGTCCTAGAATTGCCAAGCTAGTCCTAGAATAGCTAAGCTAGTCCTAGAATTTCTAATCTAGTCCTAAAATAGTTGAGCTAGTCCTAGAATTTCCAAGCTAGTCCTAGAATAGTTGAGCTAGTCCTAGAATAGCCAATCTAGTCCTTGAATACTTGAGCTAGTCCAACAATAGCCAAACTAGTCCTAGAATTGCAAAGCTAGTCCTAGAATATTCAAACTAGTCTTATACTAGGTGCAATCAATTAATATGGATAGAGTATGTTCCTGTTAAGTTTAAAACCGTAGATTGATGAGTCAGCAGTAAGTCTAAAGTCATTAGCCCACCGAACTCAAAAATATCCCTCATCTCACAACCGAATTTACTTCAAAACAGCATTCACATCCTGATATATCAAAGACTCTTTATAATTACATTCAAAACAATCTGTTTATTCCTGTTCAAAATCAAATTAAATTCCTACAGATTGAATTCCCCCGAGGCACTATAAAGTTCATTTAAAACAAAAAAGACAGAAATGCACCAAAAAATATTCAATAAGAAAAATTTATCAACAATTTAAAATCTTAATGTAAATTGTGGTTGTCAGATTTGAGAGATATTCCTTCACCTCATTACTTTACCGTCATTCATTTTTCAGCTTAGCGCTTAAACTTTTATCAGAATGTATCTGATTTATTATTATTGTCTGAAACAAAAAGAGTCAAGAAGAAGAAACAAAAAAAATCCATTTATATGCGTGTACACATTCAATAAATATCCTCGTACATGAAATAAGGGTGCCATTAATGACTAATTTTACTCATAATAATTTGATAAATATCTTCAGCCTCTATTTTTGCCTTCATTTGATAATGATCAATAATTCAGTTTTAATTTTTTATAAGCCATAGACATAAGTTATCGACTGACCATTGATTGAGTTTTAATGAGCTGACGGTGGTTCACAAGTCGCCTTAAATGACAACTTAATAAGCTATTAAGATGTAATTATGTTATGAACGAAATAAAAAGAAAATTGTAGTTGATGCACTTACTGTATCGATATAATTTATGTAATGAGCTGATTTATTTTCATATATTCTCTCCTTTTCGCAGTAAATCAAAGTTTTTTTTTTGTATGTCTCGTTTGCTTAATAGCATTACTCACTTATGATTATTAAAGTCGTCCCCCCATTTCAGATCATATTTATGCATGAGTCTACGTATGTACATAAAGTGTTGATCGACAATAAGATTACATTAGTTGTGCTTCTCTAGATGCATGCTCTAGTATTAATTTGGTCTGGAAATTTATGAAAAATATGATGTGGAGTTCAAGTTTTAAAATTATTGTGTGGAAGTGACTGAAGCGCATTTTTGACCTTGAATTGGATTTTTGATGCAATATCTTGATTGTTAATAAAATAAGACTACAATCTACCCTTGATAGCACGGGATAGCAAGTGGTTCGGATCCCACTATAAACTGTAGGTCTAAAAGGGTGTGGTACAATAGATTCTATTCTAATTTGAATCGTAATGCCTCCAGCTGAAAGGCTGGGCCCTTCACACATTATATTGGGATAGCACCTAAGGTCTTCGTCTAAAGACTGGGAATTTCAGAAACTAACCCTCCTACTGCCACCGATTATTCTAAGGTTTAATTCCTTGTTTGACACGTCGTTGTAAAAGATTTGCCATCATATTCATCTTTAAATTGTTTAAAATGCAATGGCCGTAGTTGCAAGTCTCATCTTTTTCAAACTACCTCCAACCTATTCGACTGTAGCTTCATAACCTGCACATAGCTCTATTTAATCATTAGGGTCGATTTTCAGGGCTAATCGGGGTACTTAACAGTGTAATGAACTTCAAATGTGCCCTATTCTAGAAAATAAATTACGTTTGACTATGATTAGAGTAGAGTTTTTCAGCAAGCCCTAGAAATCAATTCCTGATCCCATCCCAAGCTACACCACTGCCATTACATACTTTTTTCATCAAAATAGCTTCAAATTTAATTTTATTTCATTCAACTTTTGCAACAAGCAGCAAAACAACGAGCATGACGAAGAATTATGCGAGAAATTGTGAAGCGTCGAGCAACAGGAGATTTTTTTCTCATTTTTTATAGCATCGTTTAGATTTTTGTACATAATGAAAATTGATGTGAAATATGTTTCTGGAGCTCATGCTCTATGGAAGTAAAAAGAAAGAAAAGATGATTAATGATTCCGATATACATTGCAGTTTCGCAGCAAAAAAAAAATGGAAACTTTGTGCTGCAACAGATTCATGTTTTAACTCACACTTCGTGTGCTCTCCGTTGAGAGATGAAATTTTTACTTAAAGTTGAGTTATGTTATTATATTTATATAAACCATCTCCATAGAGCTCAGATTCCAGAACTCCATCTACATCCATTGATATGGCTATATTCATAAATGAGAAAAAGGAAAGGCTAATGAAGAAAGAAATGAAATGATGGGGAGAATGAAAAAAAAAATCGATAAAATGCTGCTGCTGTTGCTACTATTTTCAATCCTCCTCGTAAGAAACTTCATCAACAAATGCTGCTACTGCTTTAAATAATTCTCATTTTTAAAAGAAAAATTATTATAGCAGCATAGAGTGAGGGTGATAAATTATATTCCGTCTCTAATTGGATAGTGAGAAATTAAGGCTGAAGTGAAAAAAATTGCATAGTTCGCTTTATCAATCTTCTATACCATAGGCCATGAAATTATTTTTCACACTTATTTCATTTATCTTTTTATTTTATTTTATTCTTCATTGTGCACTTCTTTACATGTTGATATGGGTCGAGTATGTATTTTGAGGGGGTAGATTTTGAGAAATTGGAGTTGAAATTTGAGCAGTGATGCAGAAAATTGAAGCTTATTTGAATTTGAAGGGCAATTAATTTAGTATATTTGATTTTTTTGGTGATTCTTAATTGGCACAATAGTATGGAGGGTACCGAAATTATGGTTGAGTTCTAGATGTAAAGATGGTAGCCAATGGAGGATGTTGACTGGTTGGAGTCCTCGATTGAGACGAATTGTCTCTTCTGGTTTCGTTATTGACATCTAGAACTCAATAATAAATTTAGGACCTCCTTATGAGTAAGCTCGTGCCTCTTAACATTAGATTTACGTACCTAAAGATAGGATTTTATGTATTTTTACAAAATTAACTACCATATCTAAGGGAATTGGATCAATAGATCCTATAATTCACCAAATCACAGTGCTTCCAGTTCGTACGCGTCATTAAAATAAACCAATTCATGAATAGCCGCTCAGAAAATTCATAATTTATTTTTAACCAATGATATTTACATTTAACTCCCATAACATGCATACATGAGTTTATAGAGCAATAGCAAGACCATAAAGAAGAAGGAAGAAAAGAATCAATACTTACTTATTCATTATTATTATTATTACTGTATATAGAGAGCCGTATGTGAATCATTATTACTAATCCGATAAGATAAGACTCGGAAAACATGAAAAAAAAAATTTTCTTCAATTCTTCTTCATTCTGCTTCTTTGTATATTTATCTAAGGATCTCAATATGCAAGTAATATAGATTATTTCCATACATATAATAATAATCACAATGTTTCATAAAAGACGATAAGGTTGAGGTTGTGAGTGAAATATCAACAAATGTTCAAATATGACGCACAAATATATAATTGAAATTTTATTATGGAAAGGAAAACAGATCGTTAGTAATAAGTTTTAATGCTGAACAAATAATGATAAGATTTGTTTAATTTCACATCATTCCTTATTGCTATTATTATTCGATATATTATTGAGTGTGGAAACAAATGGTTTTTATTGATTATTTTTTTTACATACATACATTATAATGTGCCGCCACGATTTTTGGCCTTACCTTGAA